ATGATTATGTACTTGATGAGAGAGCTTCAATATATATAAAACAAAGCTGATAGACCAGAATGGATAAATAGACCAACCCACAATTATGTTGAAGATTTGAACATCCTCTTTCAATAATTGATAAAAACAGTGGTGTCCCTCAGGATATAGAAGACTTGAACCACATTATCAACCAACTTGGTCTAATTAACATTTATAGAACATTTCATTCAACAACAGAATACATATTCTTTTCAGGTGCACATGAAACATTTGCCAAGATAAACTATATTCTGGTTTATAAAGCAATTGTTATTAGTGTAAAAGAATTGAAATCATACAAAGTATGTTCCCTGGCCAGAATAGAATTAAACTAGAAATAACAAAGATACATGGAAAATCCACATATATTTGAAAGTGAACACAGCTCTAAGTAACACATGTGTCAAAGAAAAAAAATCAAAAATAAAAAATATTTTGAACTGAATGAAGATCAAAACACATATCGCAAAATTTGTGGGATGCAGCTAAAGTAGTGCTTAGAGGAATATGTATATTTTAGTGTGTATATTAGAAAAGAAGAAAAGTTGAAGATCAGTGACCTAAACCTCTCCCTTAAGAAACTAGAAAAAATTAGAGCAAATTAAATCCAAAGTAAATATAGGAAAGGTAAGGTAAGAGTAGAAATCAATGAAATAGAAAACAGAAAAGCAATAGAGAAAAACAATGAAATGGTTTTTTGAAAAGATCAGTAAAACTGTTAAACCATGGCCATTTGAGGTCAAAAAATGAGAATACACAAATTACCCATATCAGGAATGACAGAGGGACATCTTCACCATTCCTGCATATATTAAATTAAAATAAGGGCATATTATGAACAGTTCTATGCCATAAAATCAAAAACTGAGATGAAATGGACAAATTCTTTTTCTTAATTTTTTATTGCTTTTACTTCTTAAAATCTAATCCTTATTGTATTTTTTTCCATTACCTTATACCCCACCTCCCCCAGAAATCACCATACTGTTGTCCATATCCCTGAGCCCTTTTTCCTTTTTGCTCAATCCCTCTGCACCCCACCCAGCTATTACCTGTTCTCCATCTATGAGTCTGTCTCTGTTTTCCTTGTTAGTTCAGTTTGTTCATTAGATTCCACATATGAGTGAAATCATATGCTATTTGTCGTTCTCTGACTGGGTTGTTTCACTTAGCATAGTATTCTCCAGGTCCATCCATACTGTCGCAAAGGGTAAAATTTTCTTCTTTTTTACAGCTGAATAGAATTCCATTGTGTAAATGCCCCATAGTTGTTTCATCCACTCATCTATTGATGGACACTTGGGCTGCTTCCATATCCTGGCGATTGTAAATAATGCTGCAATGAACAAAGGGGTACTTAGGTTCTTTCATGTTAGCGTTTTGGGTTCCTTTGGATATGTTCCCAGCGGTGGGATCACTGGGTCAAAAGGCAGATCTATTTTTAATTTTTTGAGGTGTCTCCATACTGCTTTCCACAGTGGCTGCACCAGTCTGCATTCCCACCAACAGTTCAAGAGGGCTCCCCTTTCTCCATCTCCTCACCAGCACTTGTTTTTGGATTTATTGATGATAGCCATTCTGACAGGTGTGAGATGGTATCTTGTTGTGGTTTTAATTTGCATTTCTCTGATGATTAGTGATTTTGAGCATCTTTTCATGTGTCTATTGGCCATCTGTGTTGGACAAATTCTTGAAACAGACAAACTACTAAAGCTCACTGAAGGAGAAATAGATAGCATGAATAGCACTATTCTATTAAATAATTAAGTAACTAATTAAAATAATTCAAAGCCCTAATTAATAGGGCTGTTTAGCCCTATATCTATTAAATAATTTATATTTGTAGTTAAAAACCTTCCCAAAAAGAAAACTCTAGGCCCTGATAGCTTCACTGGAGAATTTTACAAAATGTTTAAGGAAGACATAATGCCAATTCTAATAAATTCTTCCAGAATATAGAAAAGGAGAAGACATTTCCCATTAATTTTTATGAGGCCAGTAGGCCCTCTACTCATGGCTGACAAAAAAAATTATGGGGGAAAAAATATAGTAAAAAAAATTCAGCAATTTGTAAAAAAGGCAATATATCATGGCCAAGTTGTGTTTATCTCAAGTTTAAAGCTAATGTTCGAAATTCAAACAGTGCAGTTCAACATATTAACAAGAGTGAAACAGTAGAACCATGTCAATAGATGGAGAAAATATGTTTGACAAAACCTGGCACCGCCTTATTAGTTTAAAATTCTCAGCAAACAAGGAATAGAAGGGAACTTTCTTAACCTAATAAAGGACACCTACCCCCCTCCAAAAAAAAAATCTATTGGTAACATACTTAATGGTGAAAGAGTGAATACCTTTTCACTAAGATTAACAACAAGTCAAGATGTCCACTCTCATATAATGTTCTATTCACTATTATACTAGAGGACTTCATTAGTGCAATAAGGTAAGAAGAGTAAGAGATTAAAGTCATATAGATTACAAAGGAAGAAGTAAAAATGTTTCTATAAAAAGCATGACCATATATGTAAAAATCCTGAAGAATCTAGAAAAGAGTAACTAATTAGTTTAGCAAAATTGTAAGATATGAAGTCAGTATAGAAAGATTAACTGTACTTCCATATACCATCAATGAACGCTTAGAAACTAAGTATTAACATTTGTAATAGCTTCAAAATTGTGAAATACTTGGAAAAATTTAACAAAATATGTCAGTATCTGTGCATTAAAAATAAACTATAAAACAGTACTGAAAGAAATTTTAAAAGACCTAAATAAATGAGTTTTATAGTTATGAATGTTTATGAATTAAAAAACTTGATGTTGTTAGTTTGTCAGCTCTCCCCAGAGCAATCTATAGATTCAACATGGCCTCAATCCCATAGCAGAATTTTTTGTAGAAATTGATAAGATCATTTGTATGCAATTTGCAAAGGATGTAGATTAGTCAAATCAATTTTGAAATGTTGGAGGATTTATTCTACTTGATTTCAAGACTTCTTAAAAAGCTACAGTGATCAAGACAGTATGATATTGGCTTATGGGTAGATGTAGATCGATGGAACAGAATGGGGAATCAAGAAATTGAGATAGAATATATGATCAATTGTTTTTGTACCAAAATTAATCGGTGATGAAAGGATAATCACTTCAAATGTTGCTGTAACAATTTGACATCTATATACAAAAAAAAATTAACCTTGATCCTTACCTCAAGAAATACACAAAATTAATTTGAAAAGTATTAAGCCACATTGTGATCCCCACTCCCCCCAATTCATATGCTGAAGTCATACATCCAGTACCTCAGAATATGACCTTATTTGGAAATACGGTCATTGCAGATATAATTAGTTAAGATGAAATCATACTGGAGTAGAGAGGACCCCTAATCCAGTGTCTCTGGTGTACTTATAAAAAGGGCACATTTGGATACAGACAGCCCCATAGGGAGAATGCCCTGTGAACATGAAGGCAGGCATCAGAAGGAAGCCTCCACAAGCTAAGGAACACCAGAGATTGCCAGCAAATCACCAGAAGCAAGGGGAGAAGGATGGAACAGATTGTTTCACAGCTCTCAGAATGAATCAACCTGCTGATACCTTGATCTGGGACTTTTAGCATTTAGACAATACATTTGATACAGCAACCCTACCCAACTAATAAAGGATCATAGACCTAAAATCATAAAACTAGAAGGGTACATAGGAAAAAATCTTTGTGACTTTGGGTTAGACCAGGTTTCACAGAAAAGTCATAAAAAGCAAGAATTATAAAAGAGAAAATTGATGTTAGACTACAATCAAATTTTTTTTCCCAAAAGATACTATGAAGAAAATGAAAAGGCAACTACAGACTGGGAGACAATATTTTCTTTTTTCTTTTCAACTTCAGTTATTTTATTTGAAATGTGACAAAATTTCATTAACACAAGATTTTAGTATTGTAAGATCAAAACTTTAAAGAAAAAGTATTGGTTCGGTGCTTTAAAATAACATAAAATGGAAGCATGATAGAGGGTACTAAAAATCTCAAAGACATTTGCAATAAAAAAATCTTAAAATCTAAATTTTTTTTTGCAAATAAACATCAAATTTCTACTTTTAATATAAAAACTTATATTTTAAGACTATACATATAGCACTTTAAAATGTTCAACTGTTGCCCTGTCCGGGTGGCTCAGTTGGTCGGAGCATCATCCCATACACCAAAAGGTTGCAGGTTCCATCCCTGGTCAGGGCACATACCCAGGTTGAAGGTTCGATCTCCTGTTGGGGTTCATATGGGAGACAACCACTCAGTGTTTCTCTCTTTCCATGCCTCTCTCTCTAAAAGTCAATAAACATATCTTTGGGTGAGGATTTTTTTAAAAAGTTCAACTGTTCATAAATGACCAAAGGAATACTAGATCATTCATTTTGTGAAAATGCAATTCGAATATGGGCAGCTATATTTGGTTTTAAATAAGCTACAATTTTATGATATACTAACACTCTTTATAAAGTTGGTTCCTAAATCACATCCCAAAATATCTCCACCACTTAGTTTGGTATTAAGTCAATTAAACATTGTAAAATCTGAGTATTTATATAATGAGAACTTGTCAAAGTATGAAACTTCATACTGAATTTCTGAAAGTTTGAGTTTTGTTTACCATTATTTAAAATCAGAGGGAGGGGCATAAAGAATTAAATCACAAGATCATGAGATGAGTAATATATACGCCTATAAAGTAAGCAGAAAAGTACAGCAATTAGGTTGGTGTTTGCATATTATGTATGTGCTGTAGTGTCTAGGCACAACAAATTAAATTGACATTTTCAGTTCTTCAGACCCAATGAATTTAAAATATAGCTCATTTTTTCCCAAATATATTTAACAGTCCACCTTAACTAAATTCCTTTTATAAATCCTATATTGCAAGCACTATAAAATATTCCAAAAGCAGATGAAATTATTTTAATTATTTCATTCTATATAAAAATATGGAACGCTTCATGAATTTGCATGTCACACTTGTGCAGGGGCCATGCTAATCATCTCTGTATCGTTTTAATTTTAGTGTATGTACTGCTGAAGCGAGCACAACAGTATTTTCATAATCGTATATGTGTGTGTGTGTATATTATACAAGTCCTCAATCATATATATATTTTCAGAATATATTTTCAAAAACCTCTTACAACTCAGTAATAAAGACAAATAAATTGAATAAAATTTTGAAAAGATTTGGACAGACACCTTAAAGAATTAGTAATGATGGCAGATAGGCATATTAAAAGATGCTCAACCTCATTAGTCATTAGGGAAATGCATGTTAAAATTACAGTTAGATATCATTTACTTATTAGAGTTGTCTTAAACAGTCCCAAGTGTTTATGAGAATGTAGAACAGTGGGAATTCTCATATGCATACAGTACTGGTGGGAATACAAAACAGTATAGCTACTTTGCAGAACAGTTTGGCAGTTCCTTGTAAAGTGAAAGATATATTCACTGAAAGAACCAGCCATACCATTTGTAGGTATTTACCCATGAGAAATAACATGTCCACAGAGACTTGTATTGAAAGGTTCATTACAACTTTATTCAAAACAAGTAGCCATGGAAACTACCCAAAAAATGTCCACTGACTAGATAAAAATATTGTGGTATAGCCATAAGATGGAATAGTAATCAGGAATCAAAATGAATGAATTACTGATACACATAAAGCATGAATGAATTTCTTATGTGAAAGAAGCCAAACATAAAAGAGTGTATACTGTACAATCCCATTTATATGAAATGGTTGAACAGCAAAATTCTGGTAACATAAAGTAGATCTGATGTTGCCAGAGGCCATAAATAGGGGACAGGGATTGACTGTATAGGGCAGGAGGGAACTTTCTAGGGTGATAAATATTTTTGTCCAGCCTTTCTGAAACATAATTGACATATGTAAGTTTAAGGTATGTGAAACATTGATTTAATACAATTATGTATTGAAAAATGATTACCATGGTAGCAGTAGTTAATACTTCCATCATGTTACATAATCGCCATTTCTGTTTTGTGATGAGAACATTTAAGATCACTCAACAGTTTTCAAGTATACAATACAGTATCGTTAAGTCTCCTACCAGGTTGTACATTAGATCCTCAGAACTTATTTATCCTATTGCTGGAAATTTATACCGTTTGACCAACATCTAGCCCCCACCCCCATCCCTGGCAATTCTACTCTCTATTTCTCTGAGATCATAGAGTATTTGTCTTTCTCTGTCTGACTTATCTCACTTTGCATAATGCCCTCAGGTTCCATTCTTACTATTGCTAATGGCAGGATTTCCTTTCTTCTCATGGTTAAATAATATTGCAGTGCATACTTGGGGGTGTGTATGTGTGTGTGTGACATCTTCTTTATCCATTCATCCATAGATGGACACTTAGGTTGTTTCCATATATTGGCTATTGTAAATAATGCCGCAGTGAACAAGGGAGTGCAGGTGTCTCTTTGAGATCCTGATTCCATTTTCTTTGGATGAACACCCAGAAGTAGAATTGCTGGATCATATGGTAGCTTTAATTTTAATTTTGGGGGGAACCTCCAAACTGTTTTCCATTTAGGCTTTACCGATTTATATTCCTACCAACAGTGCACAAGGGTTCCCTTTTCTCCACCCTTATCAGCACTTGCTATATCTTTTTGATAATAGCCATTCTAACAAGTGTGAAGTTATATCTCATGTCGAATACCTTTTCATCTACCTGTTGTCCATTTATATGTCTTCTTTGGGAAAATGTCTTTTTAACTTCTCTGTCCATTTTTTAAATTGAGTTATTTAATTTTTTGTTGTTGAGTTGTATGAGTTTCTTAAAGATTTTGGATATTAATCCTGTATCAGATATGTAGTTTGTAAATATTTTTTCCCATTCACTAGGTTGCCTTCTCATTTTGTTGATGGTTTCCTTTGTTGTGTAGCAGCTATTTGATGTGTTTCTTATTTTTGCTGTTGTTGTTTTTGATGTCATATCCAAAAGGTTCTTTTCTTTTAAAATGATTTTATTTGTTTATTTTTTAGGGAAAGGGAAGAGGGGGGAGAAGGAGAAAAACATCAATGTATGGTTGCCTCTTGTGCGCCCCCTACTGGGGATATGGTCTGCAACCCAGGCATGTATCCTGACTGGGAGTTGAGCCAGTGACCCTTTGGTTCTCAGGCTGGCAGTCAATCTGCTGAGCCACACCAGCCAGGACCAAAAGATTGTTATGAAGACCAGTGTCATGGACCTTTTTAGTTTTTCTTCTAGGAGTTTTATGGTTTGCGACTGAAAATTTTTTATCATAATTGTAATGATGTTTACATAACTATGTACATTTATCAAAAGACTCATTGAATTACACTTAAAATTAGTGAATTTTATTTTTGCTATGTTATGCACCGAATGTCTACTATCGGTCCAGTGCTGTGTTAGGAATATGATCAGATAAATCTCCCCACACACCTCATAGTCTGTAGCATTCGTGTAGAAAGACATAGCTCAGAGAGATAAGAGCTCTACAGAGTATATCTGCTGAGGCACAAAGGAAGGAGGTGATTAGGGCAAGTTCCACAAGGAGGTGCTTGGCCTTTACTGTGATGGATGAACAGAAACCAGGTCAGTGTTGAGGGGAAGGGCGTTCCAGGCAAAGGCATGTGAGTGTGAAACTGCATGTTATGTTTTATAAACCACAAGGAGCCCAGCATTGCCAGAGCCCTACACCTGTGAGATTTATGTCAAAGTGGCAAGAGTTGACGCTGGACAGGTTGGCAGAGAGTTAAAAGATGAAATGTTTCCCAGATTTGCTTATCAAATTCAAATTAAGAAATTATGTTCTTGAGAGGGAAATCTTCCCTCTTGGATGAGAGATGAAATGATCAATGCACCCATTCTTGTCTCTTTGTTCCATTGCATTTGGCTTAAAAACAAAACAACAACAAAAACATTGCATTTACAATCAACCTTTATAAAATAGTAATTCTGCCAGGATACACTTCAGCTGAGTTTGTGTAACTAAGGTGCTTGGGCTTTCACATGTTCCAAGAAGAAGATATGCTTTAATGTTTGAGAAAGCCTTTAATACTAGCCATCTGGGAGAACTGCTGAGATTTGCCCGATGTGGCTTGTGCCTTCAAGAAAATAGTCGGTTTCTTTGTACCACAAGGGAGAAAAACAAAAACTCCTTTGCATTACATTTTGGAAAGGAGGAAACCTCCTGAAACTGCTTATTGGTTCAATTCCATATATATGAAGTTCTTGAACATCATATGGCCTTGGAGGGATGCAGGGACATGTGCGGGTATTTGTGTGTGTGGTGGGAGCAAACACACAGGATTTTGTTTTTTTAATTTAAGTGTTTTTTAGAGAGAGGGGATGGGAGGGAGAAAGAAAGGGAGAGAACACTGATTGGGTTACCTCTTATACTCATCCCAACTGGGGACCGACCCTCAACCGGGTATGTACCCTGAGCAGAATTGAACTGGCGACCTTTCGTTTTGTGGGACAACATTCAACCAACTGAGCCACACCAGTCATGGCCACACAGGATTTTGATTAACAAATAGAATGGTTAATTTTGTTCTAAAATCGAATGCTTTGTTGTATATTACAGGCAATGGATTTTGAAGGCTGGGCCGATACACTCTTTCTTCTGCAGTTTACCCTCTCTTGTGTGATGGGGTAAGCCTTTGTTACCTTATTATGGATAGTTTTCCTGGAGAAATGTGTTCTATGGTCCTTTGGTGCATTCCTCAGTATCCTGTTTTGTCTCTTGAGTGTATCAGCTTAGAATAATTAAACCTCCAGATTCAGGTTGTTTCACAGCCCTTGGGAATGTGCCCTCAGGGCAACTCATGTGATCCCAAAGTCATGCTTAGAAGGATGGAGAAAAACTAATATTTACCCAATACTGTAGCATGCGATGAACACTGTTATAGTTCAACAATATTTTTCACCATATATTTCATACATTATTTTATTTTATTTCTACATTGACCATTTGGGATATACTGTTGTTTCTTTACTTATAAGAAAGTAGGCTTAGAACTCAGGTAGATTGTCTAAGTTTGCACAGTTAGTAGATAAGTGGCAGCCCTTGAATTTGGGACTGTTTAAGTCCTCACTAGCAGGTTGACTTCCTCTTGGAACAGTATCGCAGAAGGCTGGAGGGTACCAGCAAATGTGCCTCTTCAGCTCTGTATTTCCCTAACACATTTTTTCCTCAACCAGTCAGTTCAGTTGATACGTGTGACTGCACCTGGCACAGGCTAGGTACATAGTGGGCTTTGAAATAAAGTTGACACAGTGCCTTAATAATGTTGCACTCAATTTGGGTGTTCCAACTGCTGCCACTTAGTTATTAAGTGCATCTGTATCCTCCTTCTCTGTATCATTCCAGTTTTAGTCTACATGCTGCCAAAACGAGCATGCTATATCCCTTCTTAAAGTAGTTCTAATTTGGCGTTCTTCCATCCTTAAGAATGTCTCTTGCCTTCAGCCTGGTCATATTGCCCTAACGGGAGGTGCATAGCTGAGCCAAGGCCTGTGAGCTCTAAGCTTTCTGTCTAGATTAAGTGAACTGGTAGGAATATAATCTAATGAATGATGGTTTCAAGGTTTTGGTTACAGTAGCTGGGAAAAACACCTGGTCTGTAAATGGACATGTGTTTCTTTTTAATGAAATTTTTTAAAATCTGAAGTGGTAGTACAAGCCGCAGTGAAGTAGGAAAGCTCACACTCAGGGACTAGAGTGTGCTGGAATGGCCAGCATTGATTGTTTTTCTTGGCTGGTGATTGTTACAAAGCAAGCAAGTGGATCTTACTTATAAAGTGCCTCTTCCTTCTTCATTCCAGGTTTATCTTGATGTACGCCACAGTACTTTGCACTCAGTATAATTCTGCCCTTACTACTACAATAGTTGGCTGTATTAAGGTGAGTTGAAAAAATACTTATCTTTTGGGTAACTTCTTTATTTGAAAACTGTTGCTCTAAAATAAGTCTGGCTGTGGCCTTAAGTTCCATAATCCTTATTTCCTCACTTTTTTTTTTTTTTTTTTGATAGTTTGACAAATGATGGTGATGGTCTCTGAATCAATCTTTAAGAAGTCAAGGAAAGATAATCCCTACTTTCAGGCAATTTAGCTCTGAGGAGTATGAGAAAAGGAGAGTATGTTATCTTAGAGTAGAAGATGAAGAATTTGGCCTATTTCTGAACAGGGCAGATGACAGGCTCAGTAGTGAGGGGCCTGTCTCTTTAACCCCTAGTGAGAACTGTTCTGTTCTGACTCACCGAGTTCTGGCTGTTCTGTAGGGAAAGGAGGCCTGCCAGGAGGCAATCAAGGGAGTTTTCCTATGCCTGAGCCAAACCTTAAATGGCCCACTTTTAAAAGCTGCGTCTGACATTTCCAGTGATGTCAGTTCCTCCTGAGCCATTTTATTTGAGGAGGGCTCATTTGTCTTCAGCCAGGAGAGCCAAGTGGACTAGAATATTGAGCTGAAGTTAGTGGCTTGAAGCCTGAGGTCTCTTTCATCTGACTTTGTAATTCTAGTGCTTTAAGATCCAAGAAGCCACAGCAGGCCTGAAATCCAAATAAATTAGCAAGGTAGGCTTGCTTTCTAAAAAAGGTGAAACAGAGAGAGGTAGATCCTAGATCACTTGAGGAAAAGAGTGCAGTTGCCTTTGGGACTGGCTTTATGATGTCCCTTGTCAAAAAGCAAGGTAAGTGGTTGCAGAGATAAAGTTTTTACTGCTCTGCTGTGTTCTCCTTTGCACCCCTAATGGAGTGGTGTCCACATGACCTTATTTTATAAACTGGATTTGGGTTAAAATTTCAGAAAGTCCATGACTTCAAATCATGGAATTGGAGTGTTTGGTGTGAATAAAACTCTAAATTAAGCTGTAACAATCAGTTGTGTGAATTCCCATGAAGTCTAGAGACAGTTAATCTACAAAGATCTGGCTGGCTGACATGATTTTAGTCCCCCAAATTAGCTCTCAGCTCTCCTTCAGTTTAAGGCAGTAAGGGCTTTAAGAGCAAAGTGGATGGCTTGCATCTTCAGAATAAGAGCAGCAAAAACAGGGTCATTGGTCCCATGTTTTTAGCCAAGAATAAGGTTATTACAGGAAGGCCTATGCTTAATTTTAATAACTAAACCAATTTGCTTAGAATTCTTAGGCATGGGGTACAAATACAACCATGCTTTCATTAACATGAAGCCCAGTATTATTCTTTTGATATTTCCTTCTTTGCGCAGTCCAGAGGGATTAGTTTTATTTCCAAACTAGAGGGAAGGGGAAAATTGGATTGTCTCATTAGCTTATAATTGCTGTCACTCCTTACCGCCAAGTGGTGTCACTGTTCAAGGGTCTTACACCTCCTGACAGATGAGAGTACACTGATGCGCGCTTGCTATTTCAGTGTCTCACGTGTGACAGTGGAGCTGCTTTTGTTAGCCTCTCAGTACATACCCTTTTAGCTCTTCTGTGCTTGAGGATCCTAACCTTATAAACCCTTAGGTCAGCATTCCTTCCTTGTTCCTTTTAAGTGTGGTAGGAAAATTACTTAGAATAACTAGTTACAAATGGAAATTCCTAGGCTTGCCTCAGATGTCATCGAATCAGAATCTCTAAAGTAGAGCCTGGATATTATCTTTAACAAGGTTTCCGGATGATTCTCAGGTATTACTAAAATCTGAGAATTAGTTTTTAGCTACCAGACTCTTCTGTGCATCCTGGTTAGTTCTACTGTGGGGATTGGTGACTTTTCCTGACAGAGAACCTTTGTGAGGTTGCCCGTACAAACTGTAAGAGTACTTACAGTTTTTCTAACTTCTGTTTGGTTTTGTGCAGTAAAGATTGGGTTCTCTCTTCCCTTTCTGAAGTTCCTTGGTCAATTTAGGCAAATTAATCTCCCTTCTTCCTGCATCTGTGGATCTCTGTATTTTAAGAGAGGTCCTGTTAATATTTTGCCAAAGTTGCCTAGTGTTAACATGATATTTCATTGTTTTCCCCCTCAAATAATTAAAAGGATCTGCTCTAAGGTAACTTACTTTCTCTGTCCATACACTTAGGAGAGGCTGACATAATTTTGAATGCTCAAAGAGCACTCCATTATAGAAATAATTTTAAAGTTTGTTTTAGGCATTTTAATAGCACTATAGCACTTCACTTTCTGCTTCAGAGGCCTGATTCAGGAAAGCCCAGCTGTTGAAATGTTTGTGACACTGTTTATGGCAGTTGTAAAGGCAGAAAGGGAGGCAGTGACTTACAAATGTGAAAGAAAGGAGGTTAGCGAAGAATTGAATAATAACCTTGGAAAATTTTATTTCACCTTTGTGGTCTGAGTTTAATTAAAGGAAGGCCAGCCAGATAAACAGAAGATGTTTACATCTGGGAGTTAAAGGGAGTCAGGAGAGGTGATTTTAGGTATGCTACTTTGAGATGACTCCCCATGTTTTTTTTTTAAGATAATCAAGGAATGTTCCTCTAAAAACTGTCTTCGTGTTGGTAAAGTCCCCACCATCCCCTTTATCCTGTTCAGAAAAGAGGGAAAGGTGCTTGTTTGTAAGCAGGCTTTCCTTCTTTAATGTCCCCTCACAAGTCAACAGTTGTCTCAATGAGAGGAAAAGCATTCTTTTCTAAGATTGCTAAATGCACCTTAGTGTTTTCTAACCCTTAGTAGCAACAGTGTTTCTCTGTTTAGATTTATAATGTTAGCCCATACCTCAGAGAAGAGAAAGTTTGATAATCATGTTAGTATTTTTCAGTATTGGTGAAACCATTTAGTTTTTGGAGAGAGAGATTGGGGAGAGGCCAATGTCGTCATTTCCCTGTTAGTGTTGTTCTCCTACTACACTCATTTTAGGATTGGTGGATTTTCATTATTGTCTGTTGATTTGTTTTTGCATTTTAAGGATAGGTATTTGGGTCATAGCATGGGTGAGTTTATATGAATATTTAAAAAGCTCAGTTAAACTTATGTAACAGTGTATTGCCCTTTTTTTTTTTAGAATATACTAATAACTTATATTGGAATGGTCTTTGGTGGAGATTATATTTTCACATGGACAAACTTCATTGGCTTAAATATCAGGTAAGTAAAAATATTTAAATATAACCACTTTGACAAGTAGGCCTTGGATACTCAAATAGCATCACAGTGAGGTGTGGCTATTTAATGGCAAATTTGTTCATTTATTAAACATCTATGGAGTGCCTACGAAGTATTATATATTTAACATCTTTAGGTAGTACTTTTTAAGGAAGGAAGAGAAAATGGTTCCATAGTTTATGCATAATTGCTGGGGACTCTTTTTCTGGAAGTTGAATTCCTTTTACTTAACCCTTCAAGGAACAGACCTTTACTTAGTATGCGAGATGGCAGTACACTGTTCTCAAGAACGTTCAGGGCTAGCGAATACCAGCTCTGGTAGAAGTGCTTTGTGTGTGTCTGACTTTGGCCATATCACTGCATTTCTTTAGATTTTATTTATCTTCATCAATGATGAGGGTGACTTGTATGGAATATCTTTTTCAGCTCAAGACTTTTGAATCTCATGGTTTTATATCTATTTATATTCTTAAAAATTATCAAATTTGTATTTGGGCCAGACCTCTGTCCCAAACTCAGGCTTCTATATCTCACAGCCCACTTGACATCTCCAGCTTACATGTCCAAAACCAAACTCTTTTTAGTTTCTCCAAAGTCTGATCCACCTAAAGCCTCTGCATCTCAGATGGAGACACCCTCCTTCTAGCCTTTCAATTCAAAACCCTTGGAGTCATCCTTTATTCTTGAATCTTATACTCAGTATCTAGTGTGTTAGCAAATTCTGTTGGCTCTACCTTCAGAATATATTCAGAAAAAGGACCACTTCTCACCATCTGCATTGCTCCATCATCATCTAAGCCACCAATATCTCTTGCCTAAATTAGTGCCTGGTCTTCTACACTTGTCCCTAGTTTGACTCATTCCCCACCCACCCCATTTCCTAATTCTACCCTGCAATTCTCAGTAGGGTAGACAGTGTATTCCTTGTAAAAAGTAAGTCAGAACATATCCACCTTTTATTCCCCCACCACCCTCCATGCCCCAAAGTCTTAAGAAGGCCCTCCAAGGTCTATTTAATCTCCTTTTTACTTACCTCTCCAGTTTCAGCTCCTGCTTCTCTTCTCCCTCATTCCACTTCACCTACATAGAGTTTCTTGCTGCTCCTTCAGCGTGCCGAGCATGCTCTCCCTCTGTGGCCTTATACAGGCTACTTGCTCTGCCTGGAACACCGTACTCCAGACACTTGCGTGGCCAACTCCTTGACACCTATAAATTTTTGCTCAAATGTTACCTTCTCGAGGAAGTCTGCCCTATCTTATTTAAAATGGCACCCTGCTTGTCCCCTTCTGATACTTTCAAACACTTGTCTTTTTAGAGTCGTTAGAATGAAATAATCTAATGGGTATAAAGTACTTAATTCACTGCTTGACATCTGTGCTTAGTAAATATCTATTTCTTTCGTTAAAATTTGTGAGGAAGGGCCAGGATGTAAGGAGCAAAATGGTGAACCAGCTCTGACTTTAGATGTGGCCCACGTTTCATATATTTCTAAAAATCTAGATTAAAGAGTCACTATATAGACCTGTGTCAGAGATGCCTTAATTTTCTTTTTGTCTCCTTAAAATAAATAACCTGATAGCCAAAATGAAGCAAAAGCTTTTGTTTGCATTTTTAGATCTGTGCAGTTGAAATCTAAGATAATCTCATAACAAAGTTTTAATATCTTTTTTTCCCACTTTATTTTTCATGTGTAAGCTGTCACTGTCTAAAGCTTTCACAATGGCGTGGGTGATATATACAAACACCCTGCAGAGATGAGGGGGTTAAGTATCTTTTTTAACATTGCAAGCTACTTAAAATAACTTTCTAAGTACCTGAGTATATTGGAATGTTACAATTTATGTCAGCCTAACATGTATTAAATCCAACATCTTGAAAATTCTTCCAGTGGAATTTCTGTTTGTGTCCAGGAGTGCATTATAGTTCTTGTTAAACAATACTATTTTGTTAACAAGGTTAGATGATAATGTCGTTGTGGTATTGTGATATCTGTCCTAATGTGGTATTGTAATAAATTTTACATGTCATACCTCTTTAATCCCTGCTTTGGTACAAGGCTAGGGAGAATAAATCGTGTCTTTAGTTAGCCAGGAAGCATTCAAATTATTGATAGCATTGGGATTAGAATCCATGTAACCTTCTGTTCAAATACTATTTCCATTACAGTGTGCTTTTCAACTTTTGTAAAGGAAAATATATATTGTCTGATTTTTTTTCACTTTTTCTCTTTAAAATTAAAATTATGGCTTTGTGGTTTACATTCTCTTGATGTATCTTCCACTGGTTAGTAAGCAGATTCATAGATTCTGCATTTTATTTTAAATATGAAAACCATACTTAAGGTGGCTACTTTCTAGATTTTACTTTGACTGGAAATGATATCATTTTGTCCTTGGCTGACTGAACTTTGAATGAAATCATTAATTGATCTGTATTCTTAAAGAATTCCATGATTAAACCCAGACACATGTAGCTCTCCTCCATCCTGCTTAGTTTTTCTCCTGTTTTAAGACAAGTTTAAATAGCCCTCTTGCTGGTATGACTCAAGTGCAGGAAGCAGGAGGTTTGCATTGGTAGCTTCTCAGTTCCATCCAAATTTGATTCTGTGATTAGAGACTTTTTTCTGGCAGGTCTCTGTTGAGAGTCTGGCCGTCTCTAAGTGTCTTTTTGCAGTAGCCAGTTACTAGGGTGCTCATCCAAGCCCAAGACAGTGACAGAGAGGGTGGGGAATGAATAGTGAAGGGTGGGGACAGAACATGCTACTCTACTTCTATCAGTGGCAGGGCTCTTGGCCTGTGGCTTTAACGTAGCCTTTCCAGATAATGATATCATCATCCTCATAACTTCCTAGGCTGGAATTCTTAGAATCTCTGGAACTCATCTTTATCTGTGATTCTTTTTCCCTTCCATTAAAAAAAATTAATGTATATTTAAATAGTAAAACCCACCCCTTTTAGTGTAGAATTTTATGGTTTTGACAAATGCATACAATCATGTAACTCCTGTACCACATTCAAGATAAAAAACAGTTGTATCACCCCCGCCAAATCTCCCCATGTCCCTTTCCATCGAATCTCTGCCTCTGACAAATAGATGTTTTCTATCCATGTAGTGTTCAGAATGTCATATATTGATACATAATATTATGTAGCTTTTGGTCCAACTTCTTTCATTTAAGATTTTCTGTTACTGTATGTATCAGTAGTTTGTGCCTTTTTATTGCTAAGTAGTATTCCATTATGGATATAACACAGTTTATCCATTTACCAATTGAAAGACAATTTTGCAGTTTTTATCTGTTTTGCGTTAGCTGCCAAAACATTTGCTTAGAAGTTTGTGTGTGAACACAAATTTTCATTTTACTTGTGGTAAATACCCAGGAGTGGAATTCCTGGGTTGTATGGTAAATGTATGTTTATAGGAAATTTCCAAATTATTTTTGAAAGTATCTGTACCATTTTGGTTATCTTAAAACATTTAGGCATATAGAATAGCCATTCTGGCCAGAATTCTGTGACTAAGGGACTTCTCTTTTTAAAATCTATGCACAGACCAACACTTATCCTAGTACAGAAGGGACATAAAGAGATACCTAGGAAGGCAACAGATTGGAAGTCAGTGCATGTTGAGTACCTGGTAGATGATGGCTGCCTTTACAGTGTCTTCTTATTTGATCATCCTCCAGTTCACAACAATGAAATTGAGTTTCAGAGGGGTGAAGTAACTTGCCCAAAGGCACAGAGCCACCATAGTAAGAATCAGAACAGAGATTCTAACCCTGATACGACTTTAAAAATATGCCCCATAATTTAACCATGTGAGGGGGCACATGGGATAAGAAATTAAAATTGCCCCTCTTTATTTTGAACATTCCAAAGTCTCACTGCTTACTTCCTGCCTGGTTTGTCTTTATTCTCCTATTTCCCTTTGCAGGCAGGGTAAGAATCAGAATTGCTGAACCCTTTCTGTACATACATTAAAGAAAGTGACTATTTTGTATGTAAAAGCCATAGACTAATGTTTATCTTCATGGTATTTGTAATCTAGCTGGGAAGAGTCATTTATTTATAAACAAATGTTTGGTAGGTACCCTCCAGGTACCAAACATTGTTTTAGGCAATGGAGATAGAACTGCTATCAAAACTGATCAAAACCCTTGCCCTTCATGTGGTTTTGCCTCTACTAGAGGAGTCAGAGAATGAATGGAGATGGATGAGGGAGCTGTTTGCTGGTGATAAATGTTAGTTGTGAAAAATAGTACTGCAGAAAAATAAAGCAGGGAAGGGGGGATAGGGGCTAATTTGAGGGTGGGGGCACTTACTGAGAAGGTTGCATTTTGCGTAGAGACCTGAAAAAAATGGAGAGAATGAGCCACATTGATTCCTGGAGGAAAGAGCAAGGGAAAAGGCCCTGAAATGGGAGTGTGCTTGGTTGCCCAAGGAGCAGCGGGGAGGCCAATGTGGCGGAGTGCAGTGAATGACGTGAAATGGGGTGGAGGGACACTCTGGTAATACTCTTTTTAATTTAATTTAATTTAATTTAATTTTACTTTATTTTTTATTAAATTTACTGGGGTGACACTGGTTAACAAAATTATACAGGTTTCAGGTGCACAATTCCACAACAGATCATCTGTACACTATTTTGTGTGCTTGCCATCCCAAGTCAAGTCTCTGTTAGGGACTACTTTTTTTGTTTGTTTGTTTTGTTTTTAATTTAAAAAAATTTTTCAATTACAGTTTACGTTCAGTATTACTTTGTATTATTTTCATATGTACAGCATAGGGTTAGACAGTCATATTGTTAGGGACTACTTTTAAGAGATACAAAGATGTTGGAGTCTTTTGAATGGAGGAGTGACATGATCTGATTAAGTTACAATAGAATTACTCTGGCCACTGTGTTGAGATTAGACTGAAGGAAGAGGGAAAGTGTGACACGATTATGTTACTGGTAATGCCTTTCATTTATAGAAGAATCATATGGCATTTATAACATTAAGCATTTATATAGCATTAATAATAGCAATAACAAGGCACTTTTTATACATTCTTTCAAAAGAGCTTTCAACAACTGTTTTTTAAGGATTTTATTTATTTCTAGAGATGGGAAGGGAAGGAGAAAGGAGAGGGAGAAAAAGGTTGATGTACAAGAGATACTTTGACCAGTTGCCTCTTGTACACCCCCAGCTGGGAGGCCTGACCCGCAACCCAGGCATGTGCCCTGACCGGGAATCGAACCAGTGGTCTGGTTTGGTGCCCGCACTCAGTCCACTGAGCCACACCAGCCAGAGCTCAAGATGTTGTTACACAAATGTCGTAAAGTAGCTACCCAGACTGACACCAGTAATTAAAGTTGTGGCAGTCTCAGAAACTGGAATCAAACAGAGAGTTGCTTAGGAGACTTCAGAGAAGAAAGCATACTTAGGATGAGGCCCTGAGCAGTAGGTAGGCTTTGGAGAGGTAGAAAAGGGAAGGGTGAGTATTCCAGCCATTGATCAAAAGCATGAAACTCTGAATGTAGGTGTTAGATGGGAACTGGAGAGGACGAGCAGTAGGTACTCAGGTATGGTTAGGGTAAGAGGGTAACATTGGAAAGTAGGTTGGCGCCCATGTGTGTGGTGTCTTGAATATTTCATAAGAGGAAGAATGAATAGCCACCGAGGAGAACACTCTTGAGAGTTACTAACAAACTGCATATAGACAAGAGTAATCATTGTCTCAAAAGAGTGAACCCTCCTGGTGGTAGGTATGGTGGACGAGGGAAGGGAACCAGCAACCAATTCAGATTGAGAGCTCAGTTAGTGAGTGTTCCACTGTGAACTTGATTCTAGTCAGAGAGAAACCAGCTCTGTGAATCTCCCAGGGTCTGCATGTTTACTTATTAATTGTGATGATTTTTATTTTTATTAAAAAGAACATTTGTCTTGAATTATTATTTTCAGAAAGGCAGAAAATACAAATAAAAAAGAAATCACCTATAATTTTACCATTCAGATGGAACCATTGTTAATATTCTTGTTGTGTTCCTTCTAGACTTACTCTGGTGCATATCAACATATATATTCTTGTTCATTTAAAAAAAAGGGATTAAGTAATATTCAATGTTTTATGAAATTATTTTTTCATTTAAGATGTCATTGCCTGTTTTTATTTTCTATCATTTTAATGGATGCATGGTGTTCTATTGATGAAGTTATATAATTCCTCACCGTGGGACATTTACTCTTAATTTTCTGCTATTATAAATTTTGTGGTAAACGCTTTGTCAATAAGTCTAAGAAGATGTGCACAATTCATCAATGAAGTAGATTGCTAAGTCAAAGAATAAACAGAATTCTAAGGTTTTTTATTTCAACTTACTGTCTTGCAGAAAGCTTGTATAAAATTGGCACTCCTGCTGACAAGTACATGCAAACATTCCTTTTCCGAAGCATCAGCAGCAGTGGGCCCTGATGGGGGAGTGCCTCTTGGGTAGATGAAAATGCTGCATCTGTTTTAATTTTATGTGCCATCCGCCCCTTACACCAGTCTCGCCTACATTTGCCATTCTGTCCTTCCTTCCTCCCTGACGGTGGTGTTTTGTTTTGCAGCATTGCTGGGAGCCTGGTATACTCCTATATCACTTTCTCTGAAGAGCAACTGAGCAAACAGTCAGAGGCCAGTAACAAGCTGGACATTAAGGGGAAAGGAGCAGTGTGACCAGAGGATTGCTTCAGCGGCGTAGGCCCCAGAGTGTGATCAGCTTGGAACACTGGCAGTTCTTACACGGATACTGCGGTGTCTTGATTGTGGAGAAAATACCATTCCTTTGCACTTACACAATCCGAGGATTGATTGCTGCCTTTTAAAATTTTATGAGAGAAACTTATAATTGACTCTGTTTTAAATATGCTGTTTGAATTAAGTTATATCAGACTGGAAAATGCACCGGGCTTTTAATTTATTTTTCTTCTGTGCCGACAGTGAAACATCAGTGTTTTGAAACTATTTTATTCCACAGTTTGATATCCAGCTGTCCCTGAGAGCTGCATCTATAAAGTGCTCCAAGTGGAGCTCTGTCATCCAAATTATTGCTGCGTCGGGAGGCAGTTTTAGCCTTCCTTCTGCTGGCAAGGCAGCGGAGTATCTGAAATTTCTCCTTTAAATTGTAATTCTTAATGATTGAATTTTTTTCATAAGGATATCATCACTGCATTTGCCAGAGACAACCTAAGGCACTAAAAAAAAATATGAGAATGTTCTGCTTGTCATGTTGGCTTTCGTGAGAATTCATGGGACAAAGAGAGTGCATTGCTTGAAATAATGCTCTTCCCTTGGTTGTGTAGGATGGGGATAATGACGTGATGGAGCAAGTAGGCCTTTTACTCATTTATTTATCTTTCTGATTCGCTCATTCAACTAAAATGTATTCACTATGTAACATGCACCAGGCATTGTACTAAGTGCTGGGAGTACAGAGATATTTTTTGGAAGTACAATAGTTGAATGATCTCACTCCTGTTGAAGTGAGTGATGGTAAAAGAGAGAACCTAGCTCTGTTGATCCATTCAGAAGATGTGACTGTGAACAAGACACACACACACAGAACTTTCTTCACTTCTCAGAAACTGCAGTTCTGTAAGTGGAGTTAGAAGCGCCTGCTCCTTCTCGCCTACAGTGGCGTGAAACTAAATGCTATTATGTGAGATCTAATGCATGTGAAGAGCTGCCTTTTGTGAATCACGTGGCTTAGAGAGTGGCTGGCAGGCAAGGTAACCACCATACATTTACCTGTGCTTCCCTTTCCTGGCTTTAGTTGCTACTTTTTTTACCCATCTTTGAGGCAGTATTACTGAGTCTTACATTTCTGAACGTACTGGCTTGAGGGGAAAGGCCTGTTAGATGTTTCTGGATTACCCCGGTTTGGACTTTGGCGTGTCAGTGTTAGAGCCACCACCTTCCTTTCTCCTTACACGGCATGGGCACACCTCTCTCCTCTGGCTGCCACCACCTACACTGTGTCCTTTGGCTCCCTTAATGAGGACGCCAGCATCCCTGAAGACCAGGGCTGCATCCGGGGAGAGCAGCTGTGGATGGGCATGGCCTGCATCGCCTCTCCAGATGGAGCACAGTGTACCCGTGCGCTGGCCCAGACGCGTACGTGGACTCTGTGATGAGTGTTTGCTCCGGCCGGCTCTGCAGTGACCGTGCAAGAGCCTGAGCACCTTTGCATCAGGCACCTGCTCATTCATTGGGTTTGGAGCCCACTGGGCTCCTCTGACCTAAACAATACGTATTTTGGTGCCTCGACAGGGGACTTGGAAGGTTTTGATTTGTTTGTATTTTTTGGAGAAATATGTGGAGGTCATTTTCATATTTATGCTTTTCCTTTATTTTGTTTGGCCTTTATTAAAGCCTGGCCAGTGGTGCTGGGTCCCTAGAGTTGGCCTCATCGCCAGCTTTCAAGTTACAAGCTCCATGTCTGAGGTCCTAAGGCTCACTGTTTCCCAGTATCAGCCAGTCTGAGCAACTCGCCCTGGGAGAATAGGACACTATCTTGTGAAGGATGGTTCTTATTATCCTTGTTTCACCAATGAGAAAACAAGACTCAAAGAAAGTAGGTGATTTGCTAATAAGTCAAAATTTATGTTTTTTTCCATTGAACTATGCTGCCACTAATTAACTGCCCTTGTCTTCAGGTGTAAGGGACCAGGGATGCCAGCGGGATAAGCTTGAGTTCTTTCAAGGAGGCAAGTGGTTGGTTGAGTTTGGAGTCAGAGAGGAATAGGCTTTGCCAATCGGGGAGCTCTGTGTGGTGGATCACTACCTCCTGGGAGAGAAGAGGCAGTATGGAGTTAAGTCCTTAATTTGCCCTATACGACAGATGAGTTGGGGTGAGAATTCTGAAAGCCGAATTGTTGGCTTTCTCTGTTGGCTCCTCTGTTTTGAGTTAATGACATTGAAGTCCTCTTTGGCCAGTTTGCTTTTAGTGCCAGATTGATTTGAATAATCCTGGTTGGTGAGGCTACATGTTGTCCACGTGTCAGGTGATTTTTAATTACCTCATATGGCATTGACTTTATGAGTCAGTCATTAATAGGGTCCAGCTTGCATGTAGATTGTATCAGGAATCCATGGAAAATTCGGCTCAGTAAAGCTGATATAAGATCTTCATGGAAAGAAGGATAGAGTTTCACCTTTGCATGGTTTGGAACAGTACCTAGGAATTTAGGGCCACCTTTGCTTTTGTTACCATGACCTCATTCAGTGAGCAGAGATTTACTGAGCATCTATTTCATGCCAGACATTTTGCTAAACATTTTGTTTTGGGTGGCAAAGTTATGCTCAGAGACTGAGATTGTTTTGCCAGTATTTTATTTAATACGTGTTCACTGTGGGAATTATAATTTCTTAAGCCAGTAACAAAATAACATACTCCAAAGCCATGATAGATTAATTACACTATTGCTCCAGGGAAGGGAAGATGAAAGAAATAAAGTCCAAATTTAGTCGAGGTGTACCTTTTATACAATATTGGTTCTCGGGAGAGACAGCTTAAGCAACAGAGACCTGTCTTCAGTGGCCAGCACAAAAAGGAAAAAAAAACCCTTGTTGCTGGAGCAGATCCCTACGGAATGATGGCACTAGTGTTGGTGGACAGGATGTCCTTCTTGGAGGGGCTGCGGCAGGCTTTTGTCACTGCTGGTAAGAGTTGTCATTGTCTTGGCAGACTAGTGCCAAAGGTCTTCAGAGAGCTATTTAGATCACCAAGGGCCACCTTGCCCAGACAGAACTCTCGAATAGGCCTTGTAAACTCTCTTCACAGAATTTTAGGCCACTTGCAGTTTAATGTCCCCTTGCCAGAGTTGCTTCCTCATTGAATGTTTTTGGTTGATAAGCCCCCAAGATCACCCCTCAGCTGCTGAGATGATGTCATCAAGACATCTTTTGTCACTTTTATATCAAAACAGCTTTACTCTTAAAACAACTTTTTGTCGTAAACAAGTAGGTTTGAAATCACATCAAACCAATACACAACACTGAGTTCTGGGGAAACTGAGATGAACAGGACATGGTTCTTGCTCATAATTCTTGAGCAAGACCCTGACGGAAAGCAGCATTTGAAAGGAGTCAGTGATGTGAGAGTAAGAGCGCTAGCAGTTACCAGTATGACTGATGAGGGGTGCCCCGTCCATAAAGCTGAAGCTTTTTCTTTAACCTACGAGGACTTTTACAATTCGTACTAGGCTTTTAGCTCTGAGATGTGCCAGGCTGTTAGAATTCCATGGCTACCCTGGTCCCTCCTCTCTGTACTGCACATATTCTTACTTCTCCATAACTTCGTATTATTGTTTCCTCATCAGCAAAACTGTAATTGATATTTCCCTCCATGGGGAAAAAAAATAATATTCAAAATAAATGAGATATTGGATGTGTGCCTAGTATGCATTAGGCACTTGGAAGATTTTGTCAGTCATTTTATGGTGAGACTGTAGGCAAAATAAGCTTCTTAATTCATGCTCCTTAAACACTAGAAGCCTGAACAATGTGTGTATTTCTTGAAAAATGTAACCCTGTACTTTGCCTCCAGAATGCTTAAATAACAGTTTCTGTGTAAGGTCTTTTTCTTAAATATGTAGTGGATATAATTGTGGCCATTATGTGATGCAGGTGATTCCACCTGTTTTTAAAAAAGGTTGAAATTGTACATTTCGATAGTAAGTTTCAAAAACAAAAATTATTTTATCTTAGAGGAAGATAATTACACTTCAGAATGGTGATTCAGTTAAAACTTTCCCAGTTTGTCACCTTAAGGTAGCTCCTGTGCAGGCCCATCGTTCCTTCTTCCTGCCTCCAAATTAAGAGGACGGGCTGCCTCCGCGTCTGTGTTTGTCTCAGTCGGTGGTGCTTGTGAACTGCTGGCACCAGCTCTTACTGTTAGATGCCACTTCATCATGGTATGAGGAGATATTCTATCGTGGGTTTTTTTAAAGTTTTCTTTTTAAAAAATAATTTTTAAAAGAAATCTACTGGTTAGATTGTCTCACAAAAATATTTTTAGAGATTATTTTGTTCATAAATGTTTCTTTCTCATGCTGATGATCAACTGATTTTTGTCTACAAATGTTGGCTTATTATAGTATTTTTTCAATATAGATTCTATTTACCAAATGCCATTTTAGTGTTTTTAAGAGGTACTGAGGATTGAGATATGTAAATCAGGTGACATAACCATGAAAATTATGTGCCTAAATATTTTTGTAAAGTTGTCAAATAAATACGTTTTCCTGAACACATGTATCTACGTTTTGTTTATCTGTTCATCCACTGATGGTCGCTTGGGTTGCTTCCACCTTTTGGCTATTGTGAATAATGCTGGTAATCGTGGTGTTTTAGTTTGTAAGTGTGTCAAAACCTTATTTTCTTTTATCTGGCCTTTTATTTTGTTTTTTTTTCTTTGATTCAAACTGGTCTCACCTAGTGCTCTGACTCACCCACCTCCCTTTCCCCTGCCTAATCATTAAGCCCTCAGGATGGTGAGGTTCTGGTCAACATCCAGTAGTTTTAGGAACAAGGTCCTGGGTCTAACGACTGAGTTTTGTCATTCTAAACATCTGGGCCTCAGTTGTATTTTAGCTCTGGACCCACGGAAGCGGAACCATCCCACAGAACAAACCCTTGTGAAGTTGGGCAGAACAACTCCATGGCTGACATCAGGACCAGATACGACGATCAATTATCCCCTACCCTAGCACCAACCAATCCATAGAGACCACAACGCTAACTCCTTTAGTCACCATCGTTAATGATTTTTCCCCTATATAACCATCCCCTGGAAGCCATTGAGGAGTCAGGTCTTTGAGCACTAGCTTACCTGTAACTCCTGACATGGTACCATCCTTACTTTGTTGGCTGCAAACTTCTGTGTCTTACTGGGCTTTGATGCTGGAGGCAAACAAACCCCTTCAGTCTGGTAACAAGTTTGGGCTGTTGTAACAAATTACCATAGAGGGAGTGCTTTAACCAACAAATATTTATTTCTCATAGTTCCAGAGGCTGGGAAATACAAGATCGAGGTGCCAGCCAGTCTAGGGACAGCCCACTTCGGAGTTTGGAAGTGTTCATTTTCTCACATCCACACTTGGCGGACAGCAGAGGGAGGAAACAAGCTATTTTGCTTGTTACAAGGGCTCTTATCCTATGAGGACTCTACCCTCATTACCTAATTACCTCCCAAAGTCCCCATCTCCAAATACCATCACAGTGAAGATTAGGGTTTTAACAAGAATTAAATATGAATTTGGAGGGGGACTCAAAACCAGAGTAATGGCTATGCAAATGTGCTTTCAGTTACTTTGGAATTGCTGGGTCATATGGTAGTTCTATTTTTAATTTTTTGAGCAACTGCTGTGTTTTTCCCATTGTGGTTGTACCATTTTACATTTCCATCAGCCGTGCATGAGTGTTCCGACTTCACATCCTTGCCACCATTTGTTTTATTGATAGTAGCCATCCTAGTGGGTGTGAGGTGACCACTCATTGTGGTTTTTTAAAAAATCGTTGACACTATTACAGATGACTCCCATTCCCCCCTCCCCGTTTGTTCCCCTCCCCACTTTTCACCACATCATTGTCTCTGTCCACGGGCTATGCACATACGTATAGGTGTTCTTTGGCTAATCGCTTCATTTCCCTAACCCCTTTCCTCTTGTTTTGTTTGTTCATCAGTTTATTCTGTCATTAGATTCCACATAACTCATTGTGGTTTTGGTTTGTATTTCCCTAATGTTTAGTGGTGTTGAGCATCTTTTCATATGCTCATCTATTTATATATTTTCTTCAGAGAAATGTGTCTATTTGAGTCCATTTTTTAGAATTGGATTTTGTTGAGTTGTAAGAGTTTTTTAAATATATTGAGTTTTAGCCGCCCCTTATCAAATAATTTGCAAATATTTTCTCCCATTCTGTAGGTTGCCTTTTCATCCTTGTAGATTGTGTCCTTTGATGCACAGTTTTAAATTTTGATGTAGTGCAGTTTATCTATTTTTACTTTTGTTGACTATGCTTTGGTGCCATTATCCTATTTTTTCTACCAAGAGTGTTATAATTTTAGGTCTTCTATTAAGTCTTGGATCCATTTTTAGTTAATTTTGTATATGGTGTAAGGTAAAGGTCCGTTCATTTGCATGTGAATATGCAGTTTTCATGACATTTGTGTGTTGGAGAGACTGTCCTTAAGGCGTGTGTTTTATTAACTATTCTTTAAAGATTTTATTTATTTATTTTAGAGGGAAAGGAAGAAAGAGAGGGAGTGAAACAATGTATGAGAGAAACAACAGTTGGTTGCCTGTCACACACCCCCAACCTGGCCCACAACGTGGGCATCTGCCCTGACTGGGACACAAACCGGTGACCTTTCGGTTCACAGGCTGGCTAAGCGCTTAATCCTCTGAACCATACCAGCCAGGGCTTAACTATTACAAAGTCCTCTTAGAGTTTGACTTTTTATTTCTACTGTGTGATTTATATGCTCTTTCATTTAGCCCTTAGCTGGCTTTTGCAGTCAGGGCTGTCCGAGGTGGGGACTCCACAGAAGAGGCGCTGTTGAGAGAAGAGCACAGAGCTGGTTCTTGTATCCACAGCAGGTGAGCAGTGACCAGGTACCGCCAGGACTTCTCTGCAGTGCTCGTCACTGTGTTCGCTCAGCTAGCCAGCCAGCCAGACTGAGCTAACTGGGACAAGCATCCAGCCTCTGACTGAGGCCTGGCACAACCATGTTTTCCAGATGCTCAGTGAGATATAATTGTCCAGTGTAGTTGTGGAAACCACATTTGAACGCTTATCAGTCTGATTCAAAAGACCTTTGCTCTTCACCACCATACTAGGTTCTTGTTACTCCTGGTCTGCTTATATTCGACTTGGGGGTACTAAGTTTATCACCACAACATACATGTCAGATGCCATCCATTCTTCAAAGTTCAGACACCATGGATTTAAAGTTTAGGCGCAAGCTGGTAAACTGATTGAATCTGAGAAGGTAAGGCAGCCATGCTTTTTCTGCTCAGAGGGCACGTGCTGATAGTGCCCTCTTGTGGTAACAGCTGCCATTGGCGGTAAATGGTGGAAAGCAGTTGGCTTTCCAAGAAAAGTAGTGTTACTGAGGAAGGCTTATTAGGTGCTTTCATGGAGTTAGGTCTTTATCACGCCTTTTCACATTACAGTACTTTACCATTGCACAAATGATGGCTTAAGCAAGGCTAAGGGATTTGTCCAATTTACCTTAGCTAATAAATTTAAATCTGTCAGGCACCAGAGGGGAGGGGGAAGGGGGATAAAGGACCTAGTCCTTTGGGACTAGGAAGGGCCTAGTCCAAGCAGCAGCATAAATGACCTATGGACATGGACAACAGTGTGGGGATTGATGCGGGGGGCGGGGGGCGGTGAAGACATGGGCAAGCAACAGGGGAAAATTGGGACAACTGTAATGGAATAAAATTTTACTGCCTCTACTTAACATGTTTAATATTTTCTCTAGCCTTTTGAATATATGAAAGGCAGTTATAATTTATAACAATGTTCGTGTCTAATAATTTTAACATCTATGTTATTTCTGGGTTTATTTTGGTTGATTTTCTCCCTAGTCTCATGTACCCTTGAAAGTTAAACCTGCATATTTGACTTACTGTCAATACCAATATCTCTAATTCCTTTTCAAACAATAAAGGGGCCAGAGAACACTTTAACTTTAAAAAAAAAAAATCTGTACTTTGATTCCCAAACCTTTTCTTTCCAAAGAATGCCAGGTTAACACCTCTGTGATCAGGAGAGTGCAGTCTAGAGCACCTCCTCACGTCTGCTTATGCTTAAGGTAATTTCTTTCTTTAATGAATTTTTTTGAGGTCAGCATAAATGATGACAGATTCATGAAACCAGCGGAGAAAGTATGGGAGAAAGAATGTCATTGTGCCTGGGAAAGGCAGTGGAAAGATTTTCTTGGAAAAATGCCATTTGAGCTGATTGGTTAAGGACAACTAGGATTCAAATTAAGATATTGGAGGGGGCAGCCCTCTAGCGTTCCAGGGCCACTGTATCTGCTCCTGTCTGGACTTCGTTCCTCCTTGCTGTCTTCACAGCACACGCCCTCACCTCCGTGGGCCTTCCCCGAGCAGCCTGCTGGAAACGGCCCCTGGCGCACTCTTCCCTTCCAGTGCTTTATCTCCATAGTACCAGTATCCTCCAATCCGATTTAAGCTTTATGACGGCAGATAGGACGGTATGTTTTGTTTACTGTAGTGTCCCTGGCTCTAGAACAGTGCTGGGCACATTACAGGTACAGACTATTTCCTGAGTGAATAGAGTAGCCACTTAATAGCTACATTTTTAAAGCACAGCAAGGCAGAAACATGGCCTTATCTTCATTTTAGATAGATCATGCCAGCTGCAAGATTTGAATTGTATACTGTAGATCAAGTGTTGACAAATTCATATCTTACAGGAGCCAGAGAAGTAAAAAGTGTGAATCTGAATGAATGCAATCAATATATACAACAGTAAGTGGTATGGCTCGTGGTTACTACCTGCTTCAAGGTATTCAAATTAAAACTAAAAAAAATCTGCCAGCTAGATTTGACCCAATGGCTACTCGTGTGCATATCTGAAGAACTACTGTTCACAAGATCACTGAGGATGCCATTCAGATTACTGTCAGGTAAGGGAGGTGGCCAAAAAAAGGATAACAGTCCAGGTTAAGTATTGCATTGGCCAAAAAGTCAATTTAGTTTTTTCTGTAAAATACACGTTTATTTTCACTATTAACTTTTATTGATTTGGATATTCTGAGTATGTCGGCTACTGCTATTGGCTTCTAGTTGGTAGAGGCCCGGGGGGCTGCTAAACACCTTCCAATGCATAAGACAGCCCCAAAGTAAAGAATTATTTGGCCAAAATGTCAATAGCACCAAGAAACTTCGCAAACCACTTTTGACATGTTTGATCCCTCACAGCACCTTCTCCGTACACGACTGCAAGTCTTTTGCATTTCAGTTGTGTTTTTACCTTTCTTGAAATAATAAAGCATGATATGCCAAAAATGTGTATTTTCTTCCATCTTCAATATTAAAAATGGCTACACAAAAATTCGCCAATTGTTTTTAAAATCCCTGCTGATATGATAGCTGTCACAATGCAATCCAACAGAACTGTTTCAAATGGAGTTAAAGACAACTAAGCACTAAGAGAGCCATCTTATGGAAAAAACTAAATGAACTTTTTGGCCAACCCAATACATCAGCT